CTTTAGCATGATATTTGTCAAAGAAGACTCCACCATTGGTGAATCTGACAGGTTCATTGTACTTAGAGGGTCTTGAGAAGGATTAGAGGGCTTATACCCCATACCAGATTTATCTTGTTTGATAGGAACATCAAGCACTTGGTCACACATTTGGGAAGTTCCAGACTTAACAATAGCACGAGATTCTTTGAAAGAAGACATTGAAACCTCTGGGCCTTTGACTTCGACAGGAGGCTTCTCATGAATTTGTACGACTTCGAAGGATTGACAGAGTATTTCGTGGATCTCCATATCTACCTCTACATACTTGAATGATGACAGTTGACTAACCATTATATCTTCTTCTCCACACACACTAACAACCTTTCCTTCCATCGCGTATTTCAACTTTTGATGAAAAGTTGACGTAACTGCTCTTACATCATATATCCATGGTTGGCCAAGCAGACAACTATACGCCGGTTGGATATCCATTATATAGAATGTTGCATCAAAGGTCTCAGGTCCCACCTGAATTGGCATAGTAATCTCTCCAAGCACATACCTTTTTTATCCGTCAAATGCTCTCACTACTAGATCACTGGGTGTACATATCAACCTCTGGGTATCCAACTTCATTAACGCTTTCTTAGGAAACACATTGAGTGACAATCTTGTGTTAACCAGGATATGTGACAATAATGATCCTCTGCACTCCATGCAAATATGAAAAGTATGGTTGTGATTTCTCCTAGCAAGAGGTAAATCTAGGTCAGTGAAGCCTAAACCATTGCCAGCATTGAAATGCACCACTACCCCTTCCAATTGATTGACTGAAATTTCCTGCAGTACATAAGCTGAATTCAAAATCCTCAATAATGCATTACAGTGTGCCTCTTAACATGATAACAAAGACAAAATGGAAATTTTGGATGGAGTTTGATTCAAGTGATCCACAATCTTGTAGTCACTCTTATGAATTAGCCTCATAAACTCCTCATCATCTTTAAAAAAAGAGTCACTACCAACCTATTGTTGAACATCCTCATCAACCACTACTTTTCCTTTCCCTTTATCATTCTTATCAATATTAACTTCAGGCGGAGAAAATAACCTTCCATTTCGATTGATCCCTCCTGCACCAACTATGTTTTCCACTGTAGAACCCACATACAATAAATTGGTCAACTCTTGCTTTTTCCCGTTATAGAACACCTCAGCCCCATAGTTCCATGGGATGGATTTGGTACTCTCGTAAGGCACTAGCCCGGGTGTAGTAATGATTACCGGTGCTTGCCTAGCTGGCGCTGAAATATTTATGGTCCGATAAGAAATCGAAATCATGGTGATATCTCTTCCATCATTATTAACCCTGTCATCAACATCCTCCCCAACAACTCTGTCAAAATGTAAACAACCATCATTAATCATCTTTTGGATACCATTGCTCAAAAGACTACAACCCTCAGGTTGCAATTTGTGAGGACAAACCCTCATGTAACACATGGTCTTGAGTTTTGATGATGACAAAACGTAACCATGGATGAATCAGTTTTATCGACTCTACATCTACAAGACAAATGCAATATTTCACCTCTCATATCCTTCTTATATCCTTCTAATTTGGCATATTCAATTCAATATATATGGAAGATTATTGGTTATGTTTAGATGTATTAAAATCACAAAGATATGCATTTTTACAGATTTACAGGCTTTAAGTCGACCACAGGTCGGCGCATGAAGCAGTACAATCTCCCACTGGTCGGCGCACGCTGACCTATGGTCAACCACAGGGTCAGCGCATGAAGCAGTGCAATTCCTTACTAGTCGGCGCACGCCGACCTATGGTCGACGCATGCAGTCAAGACTTTTCAAATTTCCTAAAACTGCATGCTATGCGTCGATGCATAGTCCTGCTATGGTCGACCGATCGCGCGTTTGTGCAGTTAGTGAAGTCTTTCTACTTTGGTTGAAAAGCTGTTAAGTGCGTTGGTTGGTTGGTTACTATATATAGAAGGTTTGTTCTTTTTTAAAAACAACAATTGAGATTTTGAGTCAATTGTGCAAGAAACAAGAAAAGTGAAATAGGTGCTACCAAATCTCTTCATCTTCATCCTCAACAATTCACAACACAACAATTACACACAACAATTCTTGTTGTGGTTTGCGTCTCGTTCAAGGTGATAAGGTCTGAAGTCGTTGATTGGAAATTCGGTTCGGATTGAGTTTGTAGCAGGTTTTTCTTGAATAAAACCTTTAAGGTTTTACCCTCCAAGATTCGGAGAATTTGGGGGTTTTTGGTACGGATCATCTTTACCAACTTCAGCTAAGCGAAGGTGATTGAGAAGCGGAAGGTTTCATCAGTCTAGTAGCGGGAATCAGTGAAGTGTGTAAGAGAGTTCCGGGTTCGATTTGTGTGTGATTGAGATCAGCCGGATCGAGGGTTTGAAGAATGGAAGGTTGTTCAACAAAGGGGCTGGAATCGGAGGTCTACTCACAACGATCGAAGAACTTGATTCGACTCGAATCTAGGAACAAGGAGAGAAAAGCATCATCAACATCAAGAGAACTTGTTTGTATATTTTGCTTATCTATCCTTGTATAAACACTTCAACTCTACAGGTGATATCTATTATGTTGATCTCAATTCTAGATTTAGAATTGAGGGCTGACGTACCCCGAAGCGAGGACGGCGGGGGAATTGCCTCAACAAATCTTTGTCTCCTTTATTTTTCAGCACTTTCATTTTGGCTTTAGAATTTGAGTAATTTTAGATTAAGCGATTCCATCAAAATTTGCATTGAATTGAGTAAGTGGTTTTCACTATTTTGAACTCTAGTACACTAATAGATTGTACAAAGAATTTGGAGTTACTTACTCAAGTCAAAATTTACTTGGAGTGTCTCGCACACCAAGTGTTTGATAAATTGCCTAAACCAAGATTCACTTGGATTATTTGCATATTTTGTGGTAATTGTGGAGCATTGGAACTAGTCCTACTTATTAGTGGTAAAATCAATTGATTAGTGTGACTAGTGTGTTGAATCTATTTTTTGCTCATTATCACTTCCATAAGGCTGGACGCATATCCGGTCTTCTAATAACAGTTCGTTTTAGACGGTAATTTTTCCAAGGCCGCTTCCGCAAAACAAATATTTTTAAAACCAATTTTTAATTAGTAGCGCCGACTGATTATTAATTGGGATCTATTCAACCCCCCCTCTAGATCCAAGCCATCGTCTAACACAATTCACACTTTAAACAATCAGCAGAGCAACCTGGAAATACTCTTTCTTTCAACAATCTGTCATTCATGAAACTTAAAGGTGTCTTCAATTCTTCAACATCAGTTATCAGATTTAATCTCTCCCCATCAATTACAGCATTTGTTCTTGCCACGCCATGATTTGGCATTGGATTCTGGTTCACATTGGGACCCTCGTTGGTAAAATTGATGGCCTTTGAATCAAGTAAATCTTGCACCTTGTGCTTGAATGCCTTGCAAATATCAATGTGATGATCAATAGTTCCTGAATGGAACTCACATCTTGCATTAGCATCATAACCAGGAGGAGGTGCACCGGTGAGAGGTGCTAGAGTCCTTTTCTAAATGAGCTGCGATTGAAACAAATTTTGTAATAATTGAGAGTACAACATTGGTTGGATCTCAAATTGTCTATTAGCCGTTATTGTTCTATCTTGGTAACGACAGGGAGCATTGGCTTGTTGCTGGGGTGCATCCGAAATGGCTACAATAGCAACTTGTTGATTATATTGAGGTTGTGCTCGGCCCTTACCTCTATAAGAAGAGATAGAACTAGAATCACCTTCTTGCTTCTTAGGGTTTCCTATGTATGGTTTATTCATTCCTCTAGACGAGGATCCACCTCCACTTTGAAATTTTCCAGTCTTGATACCATTCTCAACTCTTTCACCTGCCATGACTAAGTTTTTCTGACATACAAGCAACCAACTTCTCATAGTATGTTCCGGGAAACGTAGCCATAAACATATCAATAAATTCCCTCTCCATCATTGGAGATTGTACCCTTGTTGTCAGTTCACGCCACCTCTGGGCGTATTCTTTAAAACCTTCATTATTTCTCTGCGACAAATTTTGCAATTGCACCCTATTCGGTGCCAAATCACTATTATACTGATAATAAAGAACGAAAGCCTCTGCCAATTGAGTATCTATAATTTCCCACGTATCTAATACAACATTTTTTATAGATGTCTTAAACACATCATCTAGATGACTCTATATTTCTTTTCCCTTTACATAATTTTTTAATTGAAATTCTCAAATAAAATAATTATTACTCGTAAAATGGGCATAGAAACACCTTTTTATTTACTAAATCTCTTGGCCATGTGCAATCATATTTCTTTTTAAAAAAACATGTAACAAATAGATAATTCTACTAAACAATCACCAAACACCATAGATTAATCTTTTCAATGGGCTGAATCAAAATGATAAGTTTTTAGTAGTTGTTAAATGGTTATTATGGATGAAGCATATGCAATTAGGAATTTCATAAACCCATGGAACTTTTAAAGTGGTCTTGGATTTTCTAATCCTTATAGTTTGAAGAGTAGATTGACCTTTGAGTCTTATTTGAGTAGTAGTAATTTGTAGTGTATTCCTTTAGGTGTGTATAGTGTTTTGCAACTAACGATTTCTATGCATTTGATCATTTGCTACTTCTATTTTGTTTACATCCATCCTAGTACATTTCACATTCTTAAATATGAATCTCAAGTATTTTGAACAATGTATTTAAATCAGTAAAAAAAAATTTTTATACGAGAAAGAATACATATACACATGTCAAGTTGTGTATTCCTATAGGACTATACTAGTACATCCTCCTATTATGGGGATGGTTTGTCTAATCTTCATCTTAGTACATCCTCCTATTACGGGGATGGTTTGTCTAATCATCGTCTTCCTTAGAAGCTTCAACTTTAGAAGCGGAATTGGAAGCTGGAGCTGAAGCCGAAGCTTTAGCTGATTAAGCAGAACCGGTAGCTGGTGAAGTTGAAGCTGGAGTTGAACCTGGTGAAGTTGGAGCTGAAGCTGAAGCTGGAGTTGAACCTGGAGCTGAAGCTGAAGCTGAACCTGGTGAAGCTGTTGTAGCTCCACAAGCAGGAGCTATTCCTGTAACTAAAGGTTTAACATTAGAACATTTAGCTACTGTTGGTGCTCCATTGAATGTGAGATCAATATTATTTAACTCAACACCATCGCACGGTACACCACTGCTACAAATAAGAATAGCTCCTTCTGCTATTCCAGATGTGCCCTTAATGTTTTTGAATGTAACCTTGCTTAGCTTTATTAGTGATGGATTCTGAACCATACAAGAAGTAATATTAGTCATATAAATTTCAATTTAATAATTAACATATAATTAAAGATGCAGTGATTACCTACCTTTTTGGAACACTGGTTCCATGGACAATACTCTTGATCAATGATGATAGGGTTCATGACATTATTCATGATAATATCTTCAAAATGCATATCAGTAACAGTAATTTTTCCTGGTGAATCAGGCCAAGTCTTAATCCTCACACCATTTTGAGTTCCTGTCAGAGTACAATTCTTAACTATAAAACCTGCTACATTCTCTTCATTATCATACTTTCCAAGGCTTCCAACACTAATACCATGTCCAGGTCCACAATTCACATTTTGGACAGTTACTTGTTCACTACCATCACCCAATGAGACGCAATCATCTCCAGTACCAATGTTGGTATTAATAATTTTAACACCATTGGATCTTCCTATGTGGATTCCATCAGTATTAGGACTTTCGTCAGGGGCTATAATTGTGACGCCGTCAAATGTGATATTGGTACACCCCAAAACCATAAAATGGAAATATTTGCTATCCTTAGATGTAATTCCAGTCACCAGGGAATTTTTGCAGTTAAAAAAATACAAATTCTGTTGGAATATATTCAATTGTACAATATGAGTAAGATTTTTCATCATTGAATATAGTTATTTATTTTGGTCTCAAATTAAAAGTTTACCATTGCGCGTAAGTTGCTCCCTTGTCCATTTTTTTTATCTTTCCAAGCAATTGCAGCATCTTTCCATGCAGCTGCACCTTGACCATCAAAAACTCCTTTTCCTGATACGGTTAAGAAGTCTATACCATCAAACCTGATCCATTGTTCAGCTCCTTTAAGGTCGGCATTGTTCACAGGTGCTTGAATTGTGCCATCCACTTGAACTTCTACAGGAGCCTTACAAGGACCTTTAACTTCTAATAAACCCATCTTGTATGTACCAGTCGGAATCACAATTTTCGCCGCAGTTGTTGATGCGCACGCTTCATTCCAAGCACTTGTAAAGGCCTTATATATGAAACCAAAAATTAATTACAATTTATTACTAACTAATTAATTGTTTTCTCATTCTGAATTCAACAAGAATAATTATTACCTGGGTAATATCTGCATCTGGTTTTCCGCCAAATTTTGATATGTCAAGAACCCCAGCTTGAGCTGCAACATAGTCAGCTACAAAATATACAAATGAAAAAATTATGGCAATACTCAAGTTCTTCATCGTATCTTCTTTGATACTTTTACTTCTCTTGAATGAATGATTGTCTTGTGTTATTTCAAACTAACTTGGAACGTCATTTATACTTGAATGTCGAAGCTTCATTACCACGAACAACCCTAACAAACTATTTTCTAAATATGTCTCTTTCATATTTTATCTGTTTGGTTCCTTTTTTGTGTTTATTAATAACAATCATTTTTCTTCTCTTATGGATAACAAATTACTATGCTTGTCTTTGACTTCACCATTAACACTTTTTTTCTCACTTTCTAAATATAACACTATGGAGACTAATTGTAATACTCTTTAATTTCTTAACAATTGTTAGTGATTTTTCAAGATTAACCTTTAGATTTCGTCAAAGAAAAAAATTAACGTTTGGAAGAAAAATAAATTTATCTTTCTATTCTGGTATATTTTACTACAGAATAAAAAATAATAAAATCATTAACAATGTTGAGTTATCGTTTAAAAAGAGAAACACATAAAATTTTATGGTTTGATTGATCAACTTATTAAAACATATAATAGTGCATGCTGATATGTTTGGTTTTAAATGGTTTTTGAGTCTCTGAAAATATGATTATCTACATTGCTTTAAATTGCAGTTGTTCTAAAAGATGCAGTTGTGGTTGCGGGTGTTTCAATTATAGTTGTTGCAGTGTTTATTATCTTAAATACTAATTTGAAATACATTTAATGTTGAGATTTTTTAATTATATCAAAAATAAATTGAGTTTTTGGGCATTAAATAATGAGTTTTTATGAAAGTACTTTAAAAAGTAAGGACAAAATTGTTTGATGGAGTTTCTAATGTGACACACGTGTGATTTTAAATATGTGGAGGCTAGTCCTTCAGTAATATTACAGACCGTAATTTATATATATTTAGATGAAGACCTGCACAATATTTTAAATATTTTAAAATTGTATTTTGTGAAAATATAATTGTTAATTTTATATTAAAATATTTATTGTAAATTATAACTGAGACAGTAATATAAATGATTTGTATTAATTTTTATTGTATTTTATATCATCAATATTATTATTCTTTGTCTTTAGTTTGTTTGTTCGTCGCCAATAAAAAATACACTCTATTATATTTTAATATCTACAAGTTGTGGCAAGCCTTTTAAATTTGTGTAATAACTAATTTGACACTAAAGATATTTGTTTCAACTTTTACCTAGTTCTGATTTTTAAAAAACCAAAAATATTTAATAGTGTTTGAATTCACACGTCTCCTTTAGTTTTAAAATTTAAACAAATATATTTAATTGGAGTAATGGTTAGATTGTTAGATTATTTTATTCAAAATGGGTATTGAATCTCTTTCAAAATATTTCTTCAATTAAGGATAAAATATAGTACGGAGTTGAATCTTAAACATGTAATCTACATGTAAGAAAATTATAAATTTACTATATAATATTCAAATTTTGTACATTGTGATTTCAAAATCAAATGTTAAAACAATCACTTTGCTTTTTATGATAGTATTCTTTATTGTAAGTAGTATAATAAAAAATATCATACCATTTAAATTTTTAATATATTATCTATAACAAAATAAAAATGAACTAAACAATATATAAAAAAAGATATCAATGTTTCGTTTCTCTCTAATTTATAATTTAAATTTATTTCAAAATAAATAAATTATGTTATATAAAGTATTAGAAAATAATATATTCAAAATTTCAAAATAATTATTAAATTAATATATTTTTGTTTTTGTAAAAGTTAAAATTCATGACTTCAATAAAAAAAAATATGTGCTTTGACTTCTTAAAAAATGTGATGAGTTTTGAAAGGTGGCACATAAGAATAATGATGTGGTGGAAAATACAGACTATGTAGCATATAAGGTCGTTAAAAAAAACTATAAATTTAACCAAACAATCAAATTAACTGAACTGAAGTCAAATTAACTGGTTGGTGAACCAAATCATATTACAAAAACGATTCTATAATCCAATCAAACTAAAATTTAATCGAACAGAAACTAAATTGAACCGAACCAAAACTAAAAATGAAAAACACTAAAAATAAGTTATAAATTTTATAAAAAAAATTGAAAAATTGTTTAATGGTTCAGTTCTTTAATAAATAGTTTGATTTGGGAAAATTTGTTTTCTAACGGTTGTTCAGAATTTTTAAACGGTACACCAAATCAATTATTTTGGTTTGGTTCGATTCTAAATAATTTGAAACGGTTTGATTTATTTTTAATGAATTTTTACTATGATTTGATTCGGTTCAATTTTATTTTCTCATTAAATTGTACCATAAATTGCTCTAATAACATATGATGTATGATGTATTGTGGTATCATATGTTACATTCAGATTTAATTATTCAAACATGTCTGAACTATTTTTATTGGATTAGGAAGAGTCAACAATTAGCTATCAAACTATAGTACTAAACTAGTATTTTTATACTAGGTAATTTAATTTGAATTTTGTGTTATCTCTGGGTATCCTTTCATCTTCTAGTCTTCTTCAGCTCGAAGTCGTTGTGTGCGTGGCATTCTTCTGTTTGTATGAACATATTTGGTTTTGAATTTGCTTCGATTTTTTGATTTGTTATTGTGGTGGTGATATCGTGAACAAACTCTATTGCGTGTGTACCTCTGTATCGTGTTGTGTCTGCTATCTTCTCTATTTCTTCCCATGTCTCTTGTTGTGATCCCTCTCTTATAGGTACATAGGTGAAATATTTTGATTCAGAAATTAATTAACGAAATTCCTCTATCGGATTTGTTTTAAAAGACTATCATGAATGATAACATGTTTGAATGTGTCTTGAAAATAAATTAAATTGGTCCTGAGCGGGTTTAATATCATTTAGATTGCTCTTGATTAGTTGGTCCGGGATTTCTTGAGGTGATTTATTGGTTTGACCAAGTAGTTTGTTGATGTAAGGACCCTGATGCTTGGAGGTTTTTGTTGTGCGTCTCGTTGTTATGCTTGCAAGGATTCGACTACTGTTGCAAACCAATTTGGTGCAATAATGTGCAGAACAGTAGCTTGTTAGACGCCTTGGTTGCTTTCAAGGTTAAGGTAGCCACCAATTATGGAGAAAGCACGTGATCACAACAACATTTCTCTTTTTCCTTAGGGTGTATCTCTTTTCTTAGTCAAAATGTAAATGTACAAAAAAAGATTGTGGTTCCTGCTAAGTTCTCCCTTCCCACCCCGTAATTTGCTTTTGATGACTTATAAAGCATAGTGAATTAAATGGAGGTTTGGAAATTAATCTTGAATTGTGATGAGATTTAATCCTCATCTCTTTTATGAAAGCATTTTGTATATTGTCACTTGTGCCATGTAAAACATTCTTGATGAGTTTCAAGAAAATGTGATTCACAACATCCTCGAATAAACTTTGGCTGGGGTCTTATAGATTTAACCTCATTTAAATTCTTCACTTAGGCCAGTTTAGAGCCAAATGCCCCTTTTTTTAAACATGTAGATTTATGATGTGATCTTTTGGCTAGCTGCTATTGTTACAATTTGTATGTTATCTTTCCAATTTGGTGTTTAAACATGAAAAGGCTTGACTAAAAAAAGTAGTAAGGCTATCAATTGGGCCTGGTGCTTAGCGCTTGACAAAACAAAAAGGTTATGCTTTGGAAAATATGTCTCATATCTTGAATTGTAATCATAGCAAGTTGATGTCCATTATTAACAATCCACGACCCGAGATGATTCTCACACATTTGAAAGTAATCCTAACATGTCCTAGGTATATCGAATCACAGTTTAAATTTCTCTGTGATCCACTATAGATTTGTAGTAAAGTTCAATCTAAATTGATCATGGAACAAAATAAAAACCTTCTTCAATGGCTAAAACTATTAATATCCTTTTAAAGTAGAATTCAGTGAACCCTTGGGTCTTGAAAAGAAATGGGCTCTATTGATTTGAAGTAATCTCAAATCTTCGGGGTTAATTCTGAGCTTTAACCTGTGACGTTGGACCTTAAGATTAAAACTGGATGCAAATCATATAAAACCTCTTTTAAACTTGTTCTTGAATGTTGAGTTCTTTATGGCGACCCTTAAATCTTTCCCCGTTATCTATCCTTAAGAATAAAGATCGAACTCGATACAGGAATCGTGCTTCAAGGAATTTTTGTAATGTGCCTTATTAGAAATGCCCTAACTCCCCTTGTGGTATATATTAGATCCAGTGTATTTGGTTGATGGCGTGCTCAAAACTTGATTGACTAACTTCTGAGGTCCTTTTGAAGTAAGACCCTGGAGGAAGCGAATCAGCGAATATAACAAAGCAAACAGAAATGGTTAGCTATGCACATATGATTGACTTAGAAATGTTTTCTTGCCTATCCATGATTGATTGTCATCAATATGTCTTGAATATGATTAAATGTGTTACATTTTTCTTTAATTGATTCATATGCCATGTTTGATTCAAGTTTTAACTTGTTTTCATGAGTTTTGTTTGAATACCATTGATGAAAATGTTGTTGTTACACATGTTTCATGCTTGTCGTTGTTGGCAGTTACCTTCATGATCTTTGAATATTGTAAAGTTAAATCATAAAACCTTGGTTGTTACCGTGATTTTTGTGTTCAATTTGTTAATTGATCCTACTTGTTTATCTTTATCTTTATCAAGTTTGTTTCCCTAGTGATGGAACTTGTCAGTTCTCATCAAGTTGCCTTGTTATCATCTTTGCTTAATATTGTCACAGGGTTTCTTTTATCTTTCTTAGTTTCTACCATAAATTTATATCTTCATCATGTTTGAATGATTGCATATGTGTTTTTAGGCTTTGCTGAGTTTCCCCAATGATGTAGCTTGTTAGCTCTCATTCAGTTGCCTTGTTATCCCTTATTCCAAAGGAAAGTATCTCTATTGACTTCACTGTCATTGATAGCTCATTACCCCTCTCCTTGACTTTGTTAAGTCATTAGGTCCTTTAACTTAGTTAAGTTAGAACCTATATCCATTAGACTTTATTTTAAG